GCAAAGTGTACATTTCTGATAGCATCTTATCAGGAGGGTTATTGCTGCAAGAAGTGCAACAGATAGCGATGTTTCTTAAATATTCAATGAACAATTTAATAAGGCTGAAAGTAATTTTTTATAATAAATAAATTAGGTAAGTAAATTAAATGAATTTTAATTTTTCATTGCATGAATGGGCATGAAATATTGGTCTTATTAGAACAATTAGATCGAGTGAAATTGCTAATCATATGGCTTATATCCAACCATATAAGTAATTATTTTTTAATAAAAATTGTCAAAGTGAATATCTGTTGTAAAACAAATTACTGAAAAAAGAAAGCTGGATTTTGAAAATTTTATTAATTTCAAATTTTGTGTTGCTATAAAACCAAATAATTGTTAAAATAATAATGCAAAATAATTTTAGAACAAAGGTGATTTAAAATGCACATAATTTTTATCTAAAACTGTAATAAACTTAATAAAATAAAAAAAGCGAATAAATAAAGCAAACAGAAAGTTACTTCATGTACAGCAACCTATCTACCTTAAGTAGATTCCAAGCTTAAGTAATTTTGACTTTGAAACCTATTTAGGGTAAGAATTTTTGTTCTTATATCACGCTTTCAGCCATGTTGCTTCATTTCATTGTTCTAACAGAACTGATATTTCATAGCCATGTATGGATTGAACTAAATTAATCAACAATTTAAGTTAATTTACTTGTATTTACTATTTAATTTTAGGGTAATTTAACTGATTTGCTTATCACTGAATACTGCTTTTAGCCATATTAGTTTTTTCATTGGACAGTTCAAAAACATTGTTATCTGTGGCACTTTTCATGGCACCAACTTCCTGATGATACGTTACAAGAAGTGTAATGCTTCATTTTTTTTTTTTTTTAATTTACTTGGATTTTACTTTCATTTTTGCTCTGAAATGTTAATACAGTCAAAAGTCGTTAATCCGGACTCGTCGGGACTTCGGCGATTCCGGATTATAGATCATCAGTTTAAATCTGGTAAAATGGCATGCAGAAATTATAAAATTAAAAATATGAAACCGTAATTTACGAAATAAAGAACAATTATGATCTAAAGGGTATCAAAATTTACAAAAAAAAAAGCTTAATATTTATTTGTTTACTTTATTAAACATTTCTTTCAATGTAAGTTGTTTAAGCTGCTTCGTTTTTTATGTGATAATACATTCTCTTTAATTCTATAAACAGACATAATTTCTTGTTCAGTTACAAAGTTCCGCTGTTCAAGTCCTATAATTGCTGTGTCGAGTATACCGACTAATTTGTCAATCGAAATTTTTCGTTTTCAATAACCTCTGTCACTTTCTTCACTATTGGAAGCGAATTATAATGACGAGGCATGGCATTTGATTTAAATCATATCAAAGACGGAGTACATCGAGATGAAATACTACATTGAGTAAGCAATTATAAGCCAAATAAAATAAAAACATCTGCCTTTAAGATAAGGATAGTGCTGACAAAATCAACTTCCAATTCATTGCACGCCACTGCGTTAAAGATAAACAAAGTTTAGATAAACAAACGTTAAAGTTTAGATAAACAAAGGATATGCCTTTATCGATTTTTTGCAGCAATTCCACTTTTTGTTTAATGGACTCCGAAAGATACTTTCGCTTTGTATATCCTTTACATATTAGTAAATATATATCGGAAATTCTGTTTGACATAATCGAAAGTTCAAGCTTACTTTTATAAAATTGCTCTAACAAGTCTGCAAAAATAATAATCCGGATCCAATTCGAAGATTAAGGAACAACACAATCTGCAACATTAACTGAAATAGATAATTAGATAATTTTAGCTTAGCTTATCCCGTCCGTTATACATTAAACGAGCATTCGTAAACGTATTTTGCGCACGCGCACACGCAAATTCGCAGCGGTAAAGGTCTTACGTGCATGCGTCGCAGAAAGTTTGTAGCTTTGAGGTCCGGATTATAGATCATTCCGGATTATGGGTGTCCGAATTAACGACTTTTGACTGTATTTGGTTTTCGCTATATTAATTTCTTATTGTTTTAGAAAAGTTTGAATTTATTTATTAAATTTTTACAAACTTTCTTTTATAGTTGTCACTAAGTTTATTGCATCTTTTAGCATATTATTTTGTTGAAGGTTTTTATTTTTCAGTTCTTAATTTATTATATATATTTGTATGTAAAGAAGTTTTTAATGGAATGTGTGTGTAGAAATTACACACAGAGGTGGTAGACTGAATTTTTGAGATAGGTGAAAGCAACCTGTTATCATAAATCATTATCTTTTATGCGAATTTCTAGCAGTTTACATCGCTACATGAATGTAAGCTGCGATTTTCAAGTAGATAGCTACCAATCGGCAAACATTTGGGCACAGTGCCAGATGGAATCATCACACACTCGCAAGGGTGATGTGTTTATGGAAAGATATCATAGAACTTCTGAAACAGAAGAAGCTGTAATAAGTGCATTTAGGGAAGAAACACAAGAGCTATTGAACATGCATTGGCTGTGAACCAATCAAGTGGCCATGATGGCAAACTTTTAAGGGTGACATTTTCTGTGTGAAATATTCTTTAGGGGTTAGTCATGCTAGTTATCAAGACAGGTGAAGAATAATGAAATTCAAAATTGATATAGTATTAAAAGTAACCATAACAAGATTTCAACAGCTACATGCTCGTGTTGTACCTTTTTTACTTGGCCGAAACTTCTGTATGAAAGTTACAGATATCAACTAAATTATGATCATGGTGACATTACTAAGGAAAAATTCCTCTTTAAGAGAGATGTATTTCAGAATTTTATTTCCATTATTGCTGGGGGAAATGAAACAGAAATATGAATGGCGATCATTTTGAATTTTTGCAATTTATTCAAAAATAGCTTCTCCAGAAAGAGATTCTAAATATTCTAATACTGCTGCAAATTTTTGTCACAATTGCTGTAAAAGTTGACAGCTGTCAGAAGTGTTTTCTAAGTAAAACTAATTTAAGAATTATTTAAGTTTAGTCTACAAATGTTTATTTTGCATTTGCAAAATATTTTTATACTGCCCAAATAATATCAAACTTGGGCAATCAATTGCAAAAAGAAAACAATAATTTAATGTTTAAAATTTTTCAGTTACTGTTCTTTGTCAAAAATAGAATTTTAATTTATTACCCTACATGCTATTCTGACATTTTTTAATTATTCATTTGTATTATTGGAAGAGTTAAAGCAACAAAAATCAATGTAATATTCATAAATTTGCAGTAAACTGAGAAATACTTGCTGAAACTCATATGGCAGAATTTTAATCCAAGAATGTGAACACAGGGAAGGATAAAATGCTGGTACTGATTCTTGTTGCTTTAATTCCTCAAATAATTGTTATTCAGCTTGTTATTGTAACTCATATTTGTTTGTATGTATATAAAGAGGAGCAGCACATTCACAGACTGCTCTAGGCAACTAAAATTCTACCTGCAATGCTGGAAGAAATGCATCTATATTGTTTACAGAGACTTCAAGACTTGAAACTGGCCAATTATCCTCTGTTAACTTTGCATATTGTTTATTGCTACAAACTGCAACAAATCCTGTTTTTTTTTTCCCTTCATACACCTCATTCACTACTGAGATTATTTTTGCATGTGTAGATTTGTTAAACGCTCTGAATTTTGCCTGAATTATTGCATTTGCATGCATGATAATCCACATGTCATGACATCACATGCCTACCTAGAAAGATGTTTTATTAATATTTAGCCCAGCATGGTACACTACTGCTTAATGCAACCATACATTCTGTATAGTTGCTTGAACAGCCATATATACAACATCTTTGCATGCATGATAATCCACATGTCCACATGTCATTCTGTCTAGTTGCTTGAACCACCATATATACAACATCTTTTTACAAGGTAACTTTCTGGAACTTTTTGCTGATGTTTCTCCACTTCTTTGTACACAAATGAGGTTCCAAAAAGATGGAGCATTAACTCACTCAGTTGTAAGTCAAAAATTACCTTGATGCTAGTTATGGCACAGATTTATGAGATGGTAGGGACCCTTTACTATCATTATCACCAGATTTGGCATGCATGAGTAAGAGCATAAACTAAAGATGTCTCATTGAGTCCCATGAAGATGTAATGGACAGACTGTCAGTTGTTTCTGGAAATATGCATGAAATGCCTGAGATCTTTCCTAAGGTTCACCAATCCATGTACCACTGCTCTAAATTTTGTATTACAATTGGTGATTGCACTTACAAGCACCTATTGAAAAAGAATTTAATCATTGAGATGTTTCTTTTGCTTTTACCTACCTATTGCTTATACCTTTCTTATATGCCAGCATTTATACATGCTGTTTTTGCATATTCATTCCATTACAAAATTTACTTATTTCAGTCCTTTCTATCTGTTTTGCCAGGTATTTTGGAATCACTCTGCATATATGTGTGTGAATCTAACTGTATAATTTATATGTTGGCAGCTAGAATAAATTTGAAATTGATATTTGTATTATGGATTTATATGTGAATACATATATAATAAAAATTGTAACCATTTATTTTAAATTCATAGGTAATAGAAGAATATGAAGGCATTATCAAGGTAAGGTAAATACACTATTTAATACTTCTAAGTTTTTTCCCCCTTTTCATTTTTCTGTACTTCCTTTTGTTCAACTGGCTGTATGTAATGGAATGAAACACTGTTTTTAATCTTTATATCTTAGTCATGATAAATAAGACTTTTGTTTGGGGGAAAAAAAGGAATATACTTTTCATTTTTTAGATTGACTCCTAGCAAGGTATTTGAATATATGTTGCAATACAAAATCCTTCATGAAGGCATTCCTACCCTTAGGCAGATAGCACTCAAGAACTTTGTAATTTAATAAATCCTTCCCAAATCTGAAACTCAATGTATATTAATAAAAAGGAAGACACATTTTCACATATAAAGGAACTTTTATCCACATAAACTTTATGATATTTGTGAGGTGCATTTTACAGTATATTTCACAGTATTTACATATTAACTTACTTGTGTAAATTATTTTTCAGGCAGCTATTGGATCATTACCTGTTCAAGAAATATTACTGTCTGATTCAAAGAACTTGATAATTCGCTTGCGTGATGATGCCACAAGGTACTAAACTGCCATCAAGCATTAATGCTTGTTTTTATTTCTGTTTCATCAACTATGTCACAATTTGATGATAGAAATAAATTAATAAAGGTGTTTAATCACTTCAGCTAATAATAAACTCTTTTTAAACTTAGTGAGTTTTAAAGGTATTTTGAAAACTTCCCTTTATAGAAAAACTAAAATTTACTTTTTAGAATAAATTTAATGATGGTTAATTAATCACTTCAGAAACAAAGTTTTAATTCTTTGTAGATTTTAATATTCCCATGGGGAATTGTAGCAAACAAAATATAATTTATGTGACTGGTACTGCCCATCCATATGGTGAGCAGGTGAACAGGTCTTTTTATGCATATCATAAAAGAAAACTAAAATGAGCACTCCAATGTCCAGGGCACCCTTTGTGACCAGGGAGTTTATAAATATGGAGGCCTAGTCTTTCAAGCTGTTGGTTGAACTTAAAAAATATCCAATTTTATCCAGTAAATACCTTCACTGTTTCATAGTCCTTGGAAAAGAAACCTGGATGCTGTCTTTGAAATGATATAGAAAATGAAGTTATAAACTTTGAAGCTGGATATTTTGTCTTTAACAGAAAAGTATTCTTTAGGTATAAAACAGGCTCTTCAACTCAAAGAGGAGTTTAACACTATGAATTTTTTTAAAAAAAAAGTTCTAAAAAAATAGAAAATAGCAATCTCATCTCTACCTTTATATTTAATTTTAATATGTGAATGCATTTTAATATAAAGGTCTATGATAGGTCTACTAGTTTTCAAAGTGAATGCTCAAAAATTCAAGATACATGCTAAAAATCATATATTTTAACAAGCTGCTTGAAATAGCAGTGTTAAATTTTACAGTAAAAGAATTCCTCTGATATTATTTGATTCTAAACTAATGCCATATGGAGACTTTTGCACTCATTTAATTGTAAAAAGATTTAATTAAAATATAACTAAGTATTTTTCCCACTGTATATATATATATATGGGGAAAATGTATATATATATATATATATATATATATATATATATACATTTTCCCCATATATATATAACAGTGGGAAAAATATTAGTTATATTTAATCATAATTGAATATATATATATATAATATATATATATATATATATTCAATTATTGATTCATTATTGAATATATTTATTCATTATTAAATATATATATAGAGAGAGAGAGAGAGAGAGTCCAATATTCTTACAGCTTTTGTTAGGTATTTTGATCTTAACTTTTTAAATTCATTTAAAAATTAAGCAGCACTAGGCACTAATTTTGAATTTGTTAATTCTTTTGTAATTTTTATAAATTGAACTTAGACTACATTCTAACTTCTATATATATATGTATATTCAATAATATGTATTTTAATCAGCTAGTCATCCAAGCAGCTTGTTTGAATGCGATTTGCATCAAATTTTTCATGCGAGTAGAGAGTTATCAATTCTTTCACAGGACATGAAATTCACATAATGAAAAGAAAGGTGTTAAAAAGTATACACAAATTTTTCCACTTTTATTTTTTCCTTTTGTAAGAAAGTACGAAACATTAATAACATCTTAATTATTATTGAATTGGTATATAAACTGATATTCATTAATTATTGTAATATTTGTTGTACAGATGTTGTTTCTGCACCATGTATTTAAGATATAATTTACTAATTTGTAAAAAGTCAAATAGATGATTGTTAGTTGGTTGTTAAATCAGTTTTTCCAGGATTCGTATGGTCCTTAAGAGTCCTTAGATTTTTTGGAATCGGTTTTTGGTCCTTAAAAGTCCTTAATTTTGGCCAAAATCAGCAGAAGGTCCTTAATTTTAATCATCTGAAATTTCTGTCTGTTTTTATGACTGTTATTTTGAGTGTGAATTAGCATTTTGAGGAATATTATTAGCGATTCATTGCCGTATATATGGTTATTTTTTGAATGTTATCTTTTGAATGGGTTCATGAGTTATAATTTGTTTCTGTTTCTAATATAAATGATGGGATACTCGAGTTTCTAAGCAAGAAGTGAAACATAAGCATTTTGAAATTCATTTTTTCTAGTAAAGAGCTCTTAAACAACTTTCACTTTTGGAGACGTGAATTCTTTTATTAAGCAGTTCTAAATTTGGCGACTTTTCAACATTTTGGCGATTTTAAGATTAGTTTCCATAGAAACTTTTTAATTCCGAGATCTGGGAATTTTTCGACGATTTTTTTTAAAACATTATAACATTGATAAATTTCATTAAAATAATGATAATATATTGAAATTATATTTAAAAAATAACATTAAAATAAAAAAATCTTATTTTTCGCTGTCATATTATAATGTTTCATTTTGGCAACTACTTATACAATATTTTAAATCTGAAAAATAAACAGGGTATAATGCTATAAATCACAATTTACAAAACAGCTCTTAGCAAAAGTAAAATTACCTATGTAATTAATTAAAAATGTCTTGTTTTTAATTTTTTCATAGTAAAAGTTTTTTCCGTGTAATTCCATGTCTCTGAATATTCAAAATTCTCAGAATGTGCATCAGTTTTCTCTATAAAATTAATTTTATACTTTTTCCCTCCTATTTTTTTCTAAAATATTTCTGGCTTTTTGCTGTTACAGAAATGGTAGGTATAATTTTTCTTTAGGATTTTAGATAATGAAGCTTGGAAAGTTTAAAAGGATTTGAAGGCAAGATTTTTGACCCACAATTGTAGAAGATTTGAGAAATATGTGACAAAATGAAAAATGTCTCCATGGTATCAAAATGAAAAATGTCTCCATGGTATCAATGGATGTATTTTACAGAAAGTTTGCAATGAATTTCTCAATTTTTGGAGAACAATTGGAAGAACAATGAAAACATAATATTTGAATGTTTTACTTCTGATACTAGACATGTTTATCTTCTCTTTATTCCCCCTACTTTTCACTAGACAGAAGCATGGAAAATATCAAAAATGCTTCTGAACTTATCACACGGGCAGGCATTATAGAAAGGCATTTTTTATTAATAAAGAAATTGAAAACTTACAATTTAAAAGATTCATCTAATATTTCTTAATGCATCATACACATAGCTGGCACTAGGCATTTTCCCACCTGATGCAATCTCTGTGGATCCTAAATTCTGCTGCCTAGTGCCTTTCTAAATTCTGCTTCCAATGCTTGCTCTAAATTCTAAAAGTTTTGCCATTTCTAGATTTTTTTGTTCGGTGTGTCACTAAATTCTAGAATTTTTGGCACATCAGCTCTGTAACTGGCCTTTATTATATATATTTCATATTTCTTCTGAATGTTCATATTACTAAAGAAATAAAATTAGCCTCTTTTTTTTCTGTACATTCGAAATGCATTTAGTGTTTTTTAGAATAAAAGAAATCCTTTATTAAATCCAAAAATTCTAAAATGAAAAAGAATCATTTGAAGAAAGAAACTGAATACATAAATGAAATTGTTCTTCAAAGATATGTGCAGTTATTATTATGTAAATTACCCAATTGTTTATGATTTCAACCTTTACTATAATTTCCGATTTTTATTTCCTCATGTGATAGAGTTATTGAGCCAGATTAAATTAAAATTAAATTGTATAATCTTTGACCACTAGTCCACATTATTAGTTTGAATTTGACTGCTCTTGTTTAATTACGTCACCGTGAGCTGTAATTGATTTTGTTAGCATCAGAACATGCGTTTATGTTCTAAGTTCTTTTTAAATAAGAGGCTTATTTAAACCTTTGTCTGATATTGTAGTTAATTTCAGACATAGCGATAATATGCTTCACGTCTGTCGGGAGTTTTGGACTATTTAACTTTTATCAAATCAATTAAACCCTTGTAGGTACATTGTGGAGAGGTTGACAAGTTAGGAGGTAAAGCACATAGAAGCTAGCGAGAGTATTGGTTTGCATATTGAGACAAATCTCTAATTGTTAGAAAAGATGGTTAAAAGAGAAGGAAATTGATATAAACTAGCCAAAATGCTTGGGAAGGCTTCAAATTAAAATGATGGATAAATATTTTGTTGACTGTTGTTACAAAACATAAATGTTTTGTAGCTTTTAATGTGTAATTACCTTTAATATCATTTAAGAATTTGTGTCATAAATTACATGTATTTTAAACTGTGAAATTTTATTAGATTTTGATTTTAATATGGCTTTTTTTAACAAATATTGTTAAAAAATAAAATTTAATAGTGGTCATGTAAATCCATAATGACTAAGGTTATCAAACTACCTAATTTAATTATTTATAACTAACTGCTTACCCTTAAAAATTATCTCTACATATTAAAGCGAGTTATTGCCTTTCATTAATACTCACTGTGGTCACAAGATAAAATATAAAAATGTAAAAATTCAAGTAAAACGTATTCTATGCATCTACTGAGACTTCAAATAATACAAAATAACTTATCACCTCAGGTGCTTAAATGGCTTATTGGAACCTTAAAGTATATTAACTGGGTTACAATCCCTGGAACTGTACACGAAGCTATGACACTAACTGCATCAAACAGAGCCTGACTAACTTTCAAACTTGCCAACCTTGCCTACATCAGGCCTTTCAGGTTTGTTCTGATCAGCAGGTCTCTCTCTAGACAAGCAGCAGCGGGGACAATATTCAGTCTTTTGTTATGAATCATGCTGATTATGATCTTACTTCTCATTTTAACCTATGCAGTTTGACATAAAATCTACCTGCTTATTTACTAAACCTCTAGACTGACCAAGTATGTGACAAAATGAGACATTAAAAAAATCAACATAAAGCTAACTGTTAGTAACACATAAATGCCACTTATCTTCTTTCAAATATGGCCAACTATTATAAGTGTAAAATATTTAATGCTACTTGATAAATTCATTAAGTTAATTTTATTGTCAAACTTATTAACAATTATGTTAATTAATTCATGTTTAGTAATAATGCATACTACTTAGGGATCTATTTTATTTTTAGGATGGTATTACAAAAGTTTAATTCAGGCATAGATAACATCTTTAATTGAATTTATTCAGTTCTCATTTTCTCATAGGTCCTTAATTTTTTTTCATTAATGGTCCTTAAAAGTCCTGAAAAGTACTTAATTTCCATGTGCATTTCTGCACATGTACAAACCCTGTTTTCTAATGCCTAGATAGCTATCACAACAGTGTCAAAAATGTAAATGCTTTTTTAAATAGGCACAAATAATGTGCCAAGTTCTTTGTGGCTGCAACATGTTTATCGAAATAAAGATTTAATCTGCCTCGTCTGCAAAGTTTCCTCTTCAGTAGTGATGAACATTTCTGTGATATCAAAATTCCTGCTGGTCATTACTTCTAAGTTGTTTTTTGTTACACACATACCTATATATAATAAAAATAAGTATTTTAAGCAACTGGTCATGCAAGCAGCTTGTTATTTAAAAGCTTTGGAGATTTCAATATAAAGCATGAGATGATAGCTGATATATCACTAATAAATATTCTTAAGCTGAACGCTAATTTCAAAATTTTTCTAATTTATGTATGATTTTTCAAATTTTTAGTATAATTAAAAGAAAAAGAATTTTAAGCAATTTCAACTCTTTCATTTTAATGTTACTTGTCAGAGAGGACAGGAGGTGATGGCTAACATTGGTAAACGGTTTTTGTAAGCCCACCACTATCTGTAGAACCGGCATCTCTCTTGAGGCCAAATGATGCCACAAATGAGTTCATTTTCATTTTTAAAATCAGGAGTTCATTTTAGATCTTATTTGGTTATGTTGCTAAATAAGGTTGTTGATTCAATTACATTGATATTTGGGAGGGCAGCTTGATATTACTAATATGACATGTGAATTACATTACTAATGTGAAATTATACATATATGAAATGTATTTTCTCATACATTATTTGTGTTGTGCAGCCGGGGCAACAGGAATGAGACAAATTTTGGAATATAAAGTGATACGTTTATTTTAGCATCCATTTCACAAGCGTTCCTCCTGTACCTCTAGGAGAAGCCCTATTTATAGATATGTGTACGTCATGGTGCTCATCCAATCAGCGATATTAATTGAAATCACGAGGTGACGCTATCTCCTCATCAGGAGTGTTCTTAAGGACTTTATGTAATATGACAGATTTATGAGTTTGGTGATTTGGTGGACGCCAACAAGTTAGTATAATTTATAATAAAGAAAGGATTTCGCCAAAATTTTAGGAACAGGGATGCAATTTAGGTAGATAATCACCAGCACATTATTAAGTAATATGATTAGAATTTAATTTAATCAATTGATTTAAAAATATCTTTACATATATATGCATCAACACTTTTAATAAATAAAACGCATATAAATGTATAAATCACAGTTAGGTGCATAAAGGAATGTAATTACTTAAGTACTTATATTAAATACAAAAAACACTAATAGATGCATAAATCACATATAAGCAAATAAAACACATTTAAGCAGATATAATTATGACATTTATATATGCAGTGATACTTACTAAGATTAATTGTTTGCAATTTGATATTTTTATACTATAGTGCATATCCTAAGATTTAATAATTGCAAAATAATGCTAACAATAGTTCACATATGTATAGAGAGACTGAATTACAGTACAAAAGACGAGATTCAGAATTATCGAGACTGATAATTCCAGATTTTGGATATTTCTGGATTTTAGATCATCAGTTTAATTAATCATCAGTTTAATCATCAGAATAAATTTGGTAAGATGACATGTGGACTTAGCAACGTTTTGGCTTCTCTTATTGTTTAGGTTAGGTAGAAAAATACTAATCCCCCACCCCCCTGAAGAGCCAGAAATGTGATCTTGGCCACCATGAATACAAATGTTAATCAATATACAAGTATTTCATTAGCTTTTTGATTCCCTAGCCAGTAGGTGTTCCAAATTGGTGTGCAATAATCTCAGAAGAAAAATTATAGTTATGTCACACCTGTGCTTTTGGTTGAGTATTAGATCTTCCATCCTAAACTTTGTGAAAAGGAGAATTGTTTGTTCTGTGCTGGTGATCTGGATTTTGGATCTTGTAGCATATGACATAGAAACACATATATGCACCACATAGAACAAAAGCTTAGTAGAATTGCAATACTGTGGCTTACAGCTAAGTTATGATGCAGACAGGTGTTAAAGATGCCATATGATGCAGATATTAAGAACTTTAGAAATATATAGTGTAGAGGCAAAATAAATGGGGTAAAAAATGAAATCGTGGATATTGAAATGAAACACATAACACATAAAAAAATTTAGTTATAAGAATACTGTAGCCAGTTGTACTTTTAATTACATGAAAAACACAAAAATATGCACCTCACTTAAGAAGACAAAGCACTATAATATGTATCATATTGTGCAGACGTAATGTAAATGTACCAGTAATACAGAAAACAACAAAATTGATACACTGTATCAGAAAGTTAAATTATGGTCTGAATGGCTGTTAATTATATAGCAGAAAAATAGCATGATATGCATATACTGTGTAGTACACAGTAGCAACAGTCTCTTGTCCTAAGGTCATCAAAGCATTGATTTTGTTGCATAACTATTGCCATTGCACCTAAGCTCTGAGGACATAATGCCTATATGCATTGAGATCAGTTATAGGCAGCTAAATATGCAGGAAACAATGACGTGATCTGGATAACCCTGTTACCTGCAGATACAGGTATCTGTAACTGTGATTGCAAACCTGAAGTAGTTGAAGGGAAATCTGAAGTAGTAAGAAGTACTACCTTAAGTATCATCAATACTACCTGAAGTAGTAAGAACACGAAGTGAAGTGGTGTAACACCAGGGTGCCTGGGTTAACGAGAACCCTAGCCCTTGTAGAATGGCTAAGTTGTTGCGAATTATACTGTAAAATAACCAAAGCATAAATTGAACAAGTGAAAAACAAATTCAGACTTCTTACATCCATAAGAACAAGTGATTTGCCATGTCCATGATCGTATTGTCCATGATAATGAAGCCTGCTAAGATGTACAGAATTAATCCACAGAGTCCTAACTAAGGTGAATGAAGTACTGAGAAGGGATGGGACCGTGACAACTGACATAATAAGCAAGTTGCAGATACTTGATATTACAGCAAAATTTTTTATACTTTTCTTTTTAATAAATATTGTTCAGAATGTATTGTTTTTAAGTTATTCTATTTTTTTCAGCCAAAACAACAATAAAAAACAAATGCGATTTAGGTTCATAAGGATTGGTTTTTAGTATTTTGCATCTCAGTTTGAAAAAGACACTAATTGAATAAATAAAATTAATTTTTAAGTAAAAAAAATAATATTAATTAAATTGTAATTTTAATTAAAGGTTTCACTAATCTGGTAATGCTACTTAAATCCTATAATCATTTACATCATGTGTGCTAGAGCCATAATGACAAAGTCTTAGAAAGATCACAATAACCTTTTTATTTAAACAGAACTAAGAATATAGTGCACACTTTTGTGCTACAATAATCACAACCCATAGTAATGCAAATAAACATAACAGTTAGATTTAAATTAAACTTAGTAGTCAAAGACTATGCAGTTGAATAATCATCTAGAAGCTGGTTCAATAAATTTATCAGCATGTCAGGTTTTAAAGTGTTTGCAGCAAGATGACAACAAAGTCAAATATTTACAACTATTAAAGTTGGCGGAAACTAACTATATAGCATGCACACATTGTCCAGAAACACTCTTTCAGAGCCAAAAGAAAAAAAACTCGGCTTAAATACTCAGTACTAATTTGCATTTTGGTCAGTAATACAGAAAAGAGAAGTTATTGTGAAGACTGAAATTATAAAAACTGGTTAATTAACCCTACATATTAATTAAGATCCCTACGCATTTATATAAGAATATTGGCTCAAGAATTATGTTAATAAATTTGTAAGATATTTCTCTCCTTTCTGTGTACCTTTGTGGTGTAATTGGAAGCATATTCCATGTCTATTCGAGAGATCCATGGTTCAACACATATATGCATCCATGATTCTGGCGAGGGCACTGCACATTTTACATGTCTCCTGCTTCAAAATAACCGAATGACTCTACAAATTATTTCTAAAGTTGCTTTATATAATGTATCGTTCATTTGTTTTTAGTAATTCAAATAATTCTTTAAATGAATTGATGAAAATACTGTTATTTATTTGCCCTTTGTTACATTAAAAATTAGTTATGGTCAATGTAAATTTCTCTTAACTTTTTAACAACTCATCTCATCATTGAATATTTTTTTAATTTTCAGGGGGCAACTGGAACAGTTGAAACCAAAAGATTCTGAACTTTTGGCTGCTGTTTCTGATGTAATAGGTGTTGCTGTGACTCTTAAAGGATTGGGCAAAGATGACTGTCTGGATAGTGATGGGAACAGTTATGACTTTATGTCTCGTTATTTTGCGCCATGGTTTGGTGTATCAGAAGATCCTGTTTGTGGTATATTTTTATATCTTATTCATTGTTTTTATAGTACCACTGTTATAATTTTCATGTAAATAATTAATATATACCTAAACCTGTTTCGCATTATGTATACCAGGGGTTCTCAAACCAGATTGGAATCTGCCTGTAGGGGGAATTTCATAGTTTGCAGTAGTCAAATGGAATAAGGAAAATGGAGATATCTAGGAAATATGAATATTAGACTGTCGAAAAATTAATACAGTATAGTCCTTAAACTCAATTCATGATTACTCAACTTTCGGTATAATTTGACTATGACTTACTGGGAGTCGGTAAATGATTTCTGCAGTACATATTTATGGATATGAGTAGCTACATGTTTTCTCATTCTGTTTAAAAATTTGTTTGCTTAATTTTGCAATTTTTCTCACTTTGTGACACAGTTTCTTTAAACTTGTTATAACGAATATGGTGACAGGTTTTTGTTTTTTCTTGTACAGTTTCAATCTACCCCAGTCCTTCTTGCGGTAACACAGGACCTAAGTCGATTGCCATTCACATTCTTTTTTGTTTCAAGGTGTTAGCAGGCTTGCCTGAAATTTTATGACCGTACCTATTGTAAGCTAAATCTTTGCTTCATTCTGGATAGCATTTCTTAGTTTATATCCAAGTTTGCAAGTGTTATGTTGTCTGTGCTAGTGGAAATGTTGAATGAGCAGAAATGAAACAATCAGGAAGGCAATAGAAATAAAACTGAATGCCTACGGAGACTGGATAAAGAGACATTAACAAAATTACCACGGATTTAAGTATTGAAAGAAATCTTATGCATAACCCATCCTTCCCTTCTCTAAAACTCAACATTTTAGTAACTGATCATCCCTCAGTCTGCATTAGTCAAGTTTATGAGGCGGTATTTAATTTAGCAGTTATTTAAATAACTGAATATAAGTTTTATTTATTAGCATAAAAATAGATGTTAGATAAGATCAAATGCAAGGTGTATTAAAATATACAAAGATACTAATATGAAACAGGCTATGTTTTTGTTTGCAGATGATTAACTTCTAAAAAAGAAAGAGATCTCCGCAACATTTAAGCTTTAGAAATAAGGCTTTAAAAAAGTAGGCTAAAAATACCAAGACCTTATTCATCATTATGAATGAACTGGCTTTGTCTTACTTGATCTGTATTGACAAATTAATGACTTAAAGCATACTTCTGATCTCAAAAAAATATCTAATGACTATAGAAATGTCTAATGTGCTTTAAGTTCTGTGTTGGTTAACACAAAGCTTCAATTGCACTGATTGTCAGTGAGATACTATAGATCCAAAATGTGGTCACATGTAGCCCTTAGAGATTAGTTAATTAACTCAGGCCCTCAAGTTAACTCGGATAAAAATCATCTTCTTTTGTGTACCCAAAACATGAGCAAAAAATGTGAAGGCAGGTAGCATAGAATTTGAAAATAATTGATTGGGTGATTTTTAATAGATATTTTAGCTTACTTAAATAAATTAATATATGTCTTTAAAACAAATTAATGAATGATGCTTCAAAAAAGGACAACATGCAAAATTAAATTAGTATTATTATAATCTTCCATTATGAAAAACTTATTTCACTCTGAAAGTCTTATCTGAACTAGGAATATATAGTATCATTTAGCTTCAGGTAACAACACTACCTCCCAAAAAACAAAGATTTTCATTTTGTTAGAATACTTCAACAATAAATCTCAAGATTCAAAGGCAAGGCATATATTAAACGGAAAGGAAAGACAGAAAACAATCTTTGTACTTCAGTATATTTTTTTCTCAATAGTCATTTTTCAGTAAACATGAAACTGGTTACAACTCTGTAAATTGCATTTACAAAATTTAAATGGCAAGATATATAAAATTTCCAAACAGATTCACAGCATAAATGGGGAAAAATAAATGAAGTTATGAAGTATTTTCTCCCTCCTTTCCGCATTTCTTTATGGTGTAATTGGAAGCATTCATATTTGAGATGTCCGGGGTTCAAGTTCCGGTAAGGGCATTGCACATTTTTCATGTCTCCTTCATCAAAAATTTTAACGACTCTACAGTGGCGGCCAAATTAAAAGGTAGTGGACTATAATTCGTCCTGAACTGCATCATTTTATTTTCATCAATGTTTATTTATATGTATTTAGTGCTTCACGTGCATTATGAGCGCATTCATGAACTGAACCATTTTTTTTCATATGTGTTTATTTATATGTATTATTGAAATGTCTACTAGTGATCCCCCAACGACTGATGACAAGCAAATGGCTCGTGTTACTGTAAATCCACCCCATTTTGCCTTAATGATCCCAATCTTTGGTTTTTTTCAATTAGATGCACAATTCAAGCTTGGAGGTATAACACATGATGACACAAAATTTTATACCACAACTTCTGCCCTCGACACCGAAATTCTACAGTCAGTCTGCAAGGTATTGCTGAAACCAAAGGTAACAAATATGAGGAGTTGAAAAATAAATTAATTTCGGTATATGAGGAGTCTGAAAATACTAAACTAAAGGAGCTGCTGCAGGACTTGCAACTTGGCGATATGCACCCATCATAGTTATTATCAAAAATGCAGGAACTTTACAATTTTAAATTGAATGTTTTACAATCATTGTGGCTCAAACGCCTCCTGAGCAATATCCAGGCTATTCTTGCCACTAGTAATGAGAATCTACACCAGTTGGCCCAGATGACAGATAAAATTCATTATGTTCTCCAGCTACAAGCAATAAATCAAGTTTAGCATCTCAGTGTTGATATTTCATCACTCCAGCAACAAATCCAGAAATTATCATTGCAGGTCGCAGCTTTACAGACATGATCTCAGTATCACCCACGCGGTTGATCAAAGTCAAGTAACCGACACAATAGGAACTACCAATGCACACAGTTCAGTGAGAAAAAAGGAATTTGTTTCTATCACGTACGATTTGGTGATAAAGTGCATAGGTGTATGTCTGCATGCACATTCCAACAAACCTCTTTAAATTGAATGGGCCGTCACTCGAAGCCACGAGTGACAGTGGCCAGTCAGGGTTCGTAGCGGTCCTTACAAGTGCGTATAAGTCCTTATATTTGAAAATGAAATATAAAGGCCCTTATAGGTGCTTACTTTTTCTTTAAAGTCCTTATTTTTTTGTTTTTAGTGCTTTTTTTTTATTCCTTTGTTTTTAATGAACGCACATTTTTTCCCCGTACCAAAGCCGAAACTAAATAAACAACATTTCTTCCTTATAAAATGTAACGTCAGATGGTGAATCATATTCCCAGAAATTGCTTTTCCCCCCTTCCTCTGCATTAACGTAACCTATGGATGCGCACGAGAGTACAGACAGGTGCATGTCGTTCTATTGGTCAAAGAATTGCAAAAATGATAGAAAATTCTGGTACATTTCGGTATTCTTTTCCTCCCACCCAAATACTACACACGTTTGAATTTCTATCAGATTTTTAATAATTTGCATTCTCGTTCCGCGTGGTCAGTTCATATTCGTGTTTACTATGATCGTTATGCTTATATTATGAGCATATGTATGAATATTTATAATAATATAGTTGCAGTAACTGCTGAAGTATAGATAAACTTCCAAAAATGGGTGTGTTTTTACACAGATTAGCTTTCTAAGGAATAATATGCGGAATGGCTTAAATAAAAGGAAAGTAATCGAATAGTCAAAATAATTTCATTTTCTTTGCCAATACATTATACAGTACGGAGTTTCTCCGCAAAATCTCTAATATTGAAGCAGCGGACTTTTTTTTTGTCACTGTCCAATCTGGATTGTACAGGACTAAAAGTTTTTGCGGTCTACCCAACCCAAGTGAAAATTGATTCTATTCCGGAAATTTACTACAGTCTGTTGAAAATTAGAATCAGAAACACCCCAGATTAGTAAGTCTCTTTCTTTTCCTTTATTTAGTTCTTTTTTCTCTGAATACCGGCAGGTGTTGATTCCGATTGCGTAATATCACATATGGAAGAATTACGCCGCACGTATTGCGCAATAACGTTTGCGGTATTTTGCATTGATAATTAATTTTGATGTTCAGTCTGAGATTTGATTATGCACACTTAAAAGAGTTTTACTGTGCTTTCTAAGCAGAATATTTCTCAGTTCCGTTGGTTTTTATATGATGCACATATCGAAATGTCAAAATCATTTATTTAGCATAAATTTAAAGAACAGCTACAATCTCCCCCACTCCTCTTTTTGTTTTTTCTTTTTGTACTTTGTAGTATTTGGGTGGGAAGAAAAGAGTACCGAATGTACCGGAATTTTCTACGTTTTCGCAATTCTTTGGCCAATAGAACGACGTGCACCTGTCTGTACTCTCGCGCGCACCATAGGTTACGTTAATGCAGAGGAAGGGGGGAAAGCAATTTTCGGGAGTATGATTCACCATCTGACGTTGCATATAAGAAAGAAAAGTTGTTTATTGTGCCTCTTTTTTACTTAAATTACTTTGCTTGGAATATATGTTAAGGGAAAACTGTTATGCAATGAAAATTTAGAAAATGTTCAGAATTTTGATTTAAGTTAAATTAAATATTTAAATATTTAATATGAGTGGGAAAATAAATTGTATTTATTATTAGGTGCCAAATGAATACAATTAATATGGCTTATTATTATTTATTTTCTATATTTTCAACTGAAATATCATCATTAAATTTTGTAATATAGTTTAGTTCTGCATAGTTTTTTTTTTCTCTCTCATTGTAAACTAATTCTGTAAATTGAACTGTCATTTAAAATTTAAAAAAAAGTTAATTGTTTTCCATTGTTGAGGTAATGCTTATTCTCTTAATAAATATTGCATTGCTCATATTTTAAATTACAAGTCTAATTTTTCTTTTAAGGTTATGCAGTTGTGTGTAATGTAATTAGACAGGTGCATTTTTTCCCTTAAAATGTGCTTGAAAAGTGCTTATAGGTGCTTATTTTTTTAACTAAAATGTGGCTATGAACTCTGCCAGTGCATTAGTTG